TGGTACTGAGGAATCAAACCCAGGACGCCATGCATGGTAGGCAAACACTCTACCACTGAGCCACATTCCCAGCCCAGCTTCCTGACTATTGCCTTCTAAACCTGGTACACTCATAACTTCTCAGTTCAAGACAGAGGATATTGGCAAGCCACCATATACAGTGGTGTCCAAGGACCCTGTTCTTCTAGAAACCAATATAGCTCATATGAACCCGTGTGAACACTCGGCCGTCACAGCCTTGACAAAGCACACACTGTACACCCTAGTCTTCATATGTGCTGGCATTATTTAAATGATTTCCCTCTCATATCTATCCTCCTCAACCTGTTGGATATGCCAATTGATTCCATTGCTTTCTCATTTCTTCCCAACTATGGCCACACTGGGCTGACTCCCTATGCTTTGAGAACTGAAGGTTGGTTCTACCAAATGGATAGACTCAACCTGTGTCCATGTACAACCTTAAATTTCTCACATTTTAATGTGACAGCAGTGTGTTGGCCAGCTGTCCATCACAGTGACAAAATATTGGAAATAATCAACTCATGAGGAAAGGTTGGATTTGGTTCCTGGCTCCAGAAATTACAATGCAAGAATTTTCAAGTCCCTCTGGGAACTTGGTTGCTAAAGCAATGCCAAACATAGAGGAAGTGAGGTCCAGGTAGGGTAAATCGACTATGAGCCACTGTTGCACTTGCTAATCATCCTGTCAAAGGGATTATTTTCCTGATTTCTTTCTTAGAATATTCTTTACTAGTATATGGAAAAACTGTTGTGTGTGTACGCTAGATTCTGCTAATTCACTAAAAGTAGTCATTAGATCTAAAAGTTTTCTAGCGGAGCCTTTCAGATCTTCTAAGTATATCTAAGACCATATTTGAAAAGATGAATATTTTGGCTTTTTCCTTTTCTATTTTGGATCTCTTCCATTTCTTTATCATTCTGTGTTGCTCAAACTAAGATTTCAAGCACTATATCAAATGTGAGTATTAACAGTAGACAAACAGTTACTGAATTAAGAGGAAATATTTTCATATTTCTCTCATTCAGTGTAGTATTGGCTATATAGGTCTGTCACAGTCTTTTGTTGATATTTTAACCTTCTAGTCTTTGTTTCTTCTTGGATTGTGCATAAGGCTTTTCTGGATGTTTTGAGAAAGTTATGTGAATACAGTCCCTCATTCTGTTTCTATGCTGTATTATGTTTATTAATTTGGATAAGTTGGTCCATCTTTGCATTCCTAGAAGGAGGCCAACTTAATCAATGTGTGATTTTTTTTAATGTGTCATCCAATTCTGTTTGCACTTATTTTTCTTGAGGATTTTGGGGTCTATATTTATTGAACTAACTGGTCTATGATTTTTTTAAAATGTTGTACACTTATCAAGTTTTGGTATCAAAGTGATACTGATTTTGTAGAATGAATTTGAAGGGTTTCTTCATTTCTTATTTTGTGGATTAGTTTGAGGAGATGGGTGTTAGTTCTTCTTAAAGTTCTGGTAGAATTCAGCAGTAAATCCATCCAGTCCTGGGCTTCTATTTGTAGATTTTTTTGTTAAAATTGCCATGTCCAACACAGGGCTATAGTAACCTTTTTCTTTGTGCAGGGGTAACAGTAGCCTCAGAAGTACAGGTGCTAAAGTAAAATGCTTCCAGAAAAACTCTTAGCCAAGCACAGCCTTTATGATTATAGTCAGTGGGAGATGTCCCCAAGTTCAGCCAATAAAGTGACATAAAAGATATATCTTTCATCTCTTCCTATAGGTAGATATACACACACAATACATGTGTATACATATATCCATACATGTCTAGGCATATATGTACATACACGTATATCCATATGTGTGTACATACATGCATCATATATTATAGTATAATATACATATGATATACCATATGTTAATATAACATATGACATAGTACGTATACATATACATGTGTATTTTACCTTCATATCATACATAAATTTGTCATAGGTGAAAGTCTCTGTTTCTTAAGTAGCTGATGCTCCTATTAATGACATGGCTGCACATTTTTGTACTATGAAAATGGACAAATCTCTTTTGTCACATCTTTTTTTCACACCTACAGCCAATGTTGTTTTTATATTTAATTCCTGTTCTCATTACTTTGCAAGATTCATAATTTCCCTATGCAGGGAAAACTTCCTCAGATGGCCTTCTCTCGCTGTCAAAGGTGGGTCCGGTTAGGAGTTAAACCAGGATGTGCTACATTTAGCATTGTCTGAGGCACTGGGCACTGTCCTAAAGTGAAGACCTACCATAATAAAGTCTGGGACAGAGTCAGCCAAGCGATGGCAAGAGGCACACTCCTATCCCTAGCCCTTCGGTTCTCTAAACATGCTCTGAGATGAAAGTGACACTGTTGCCATCTGAACTATGAATTCTATTTTCAAAGCTAGCTTATTGATGAAGGTCAACACAAAGGGTAGAGCCCCAGGAATATGTTTGTATTCAGCACCCCCTCTTTGAAAACATCAGATGTGGTCAGTGTGGTGGGGCTAGCATCCTACAGCGAGTATTTGTGTGCTGCCATGGCAACAGGACCAGGAATGCCAGACTGACATTTTCCAGAGACAAGAGTGAGTTTTCTACCTGCTCCTATCCCTATATCTGTCCCTGCCCTACCCCTGTCAAGGTGCAGACTTGCGATCCCAGTTGAGCAGCAACCTCCAGAAAGCTTCTCACGTGGGCAACATGCAATGCAGAGGAGGACCTGCACTGCATTAAAAGTTATAGCCATTTTCAAAAGGCGGTTTGTTCTTTGGAATATTAAATGCCACTGAGGCACAAAGGCGGTTTTGTTTTTGTTTTTGTTTTCAGAAAAAGAACTGTTTGAATGTAAAGAATTTCCAAGAAACCTGAGCAGTCCTTGGCATTCTCACTTCTTCAACTTTTATGGACTCAAGAGATGTTGCCTGATAACAAGTCCTATGACTAAGATTCAATTCTTCAATTCCTGATTGTGCCAGGTAGTTCTTCTTTATCACTTTTTTCTTTTTGGGGGGAGGGCTATGATTTTTTTTTACAAAGGATTGTAAATAAGTGACTTTACACCTTCCTATCTGAATAATGCTATTTGTAAGCACGTGTTGAGATAACTCATGATTCATAGATATCTATGTGAGCAATGAAAATATTCTAACCGCAGAGTATTTTGACACCTACCCCTAGTCATGAATAGTAAAGCAAAACTACTGGAACCCAGGCCATCATTGGGCTGCCCTAAGTGGCATCCTATCTCTTTTTTAGGTGAGTTTCAGAACATGATAACAGCATAATCAATCCAAAGAGTAGATGACAACAATCCAGACATCATATGAGACCAAAGTCAACTATAGATTTGTAGGGTTTAACAAATCAGAGAAGCACCAACTGTGTGTGCGTCCCTTAGAGCTGCGTTGATGCTCCTGAGCAGCAGCAAAAGCACATATCCCAGGAAAAGAGAAACAAGCATTCCTTGGCTGCTGATACTCAGAGAGGTCCCATCTGTCCTCTTTTAGAATTACTGTAACCACTGCAATGTACTTCCATGGAGAAGATGGATCATCTAAATGCATTCTAGTCCACAGGAGGCAACAATAAATAAACTCTTAAGTCCTGCTTCAACCACAGAGAAGGGAGGGAAGACATGAATAAAGATGGAGACAAGGACAACCAGACAAAGAGAAAGCAAAATTGAAAGAGAAAGGTGAAGAAGGAAAAAGAAAGAAAGGAAGAAAGGAAGGAAGGAAGGAAGAGAGAGAGATAAAAGAGAGAGAGATAGAAAGAGAGAGAGCTGGAGAGAGGAAGGGAGGGAAGGAAGGGAGGGAAGAGAGAAAGACAAGGTAAAGAAAAGTGAGAAACAGAGAAGGGATAAAGGAAGGGATTGAGAGAATCAACTTCCCCGTACTCTTTTCACCCCAACTCTTGTCAAGTTAATCCAGATCTCTTCTCTAGGCCCCAAACTGTTTCAGTGGATGAGATGCTAGCCTCTCCTGCAGATAGCAGGGCTGATGCCTGGGGGCACCTGCACAGACACACAAAGCTGCACACTCTTATTCCTTCTGCCAACAGTGTAGTCACTAATGGTGGTCCTGATAACTTCCCCCAACAGGGTACCAGACAGGATGTGAGAGCAAGCAAGGACCCCAGGAAGCACCACTGCAGCCTGATGAAGGGGATCAGAGACTTAAGACTCTCTGGGGAATCTGAAGAGTGAAAGGTGGGCCCTGAAGTTGATCATTTCTGCACATGTGAATGAGGGTGACTTGGGCACCATCCAGGTGCTCACATCTGTGATCCTAGCTACTCAGGAGGCTGAGATCCGAGAGTTATGGTTCAGAGCCAGCCCAGACAGAAAGTCTGGGAGAAATTTAACTCCAATTAACCATGAAAAAATGAATAAATAAGTAAAGTTAAATAGTAGAGTGCAAGCCTTGAGCAAAAAGCTCAGGGACCATGCCCAAGCCTTGAGTTCAAGCCCTAGGACTGGTACACACACACACACACACACACACACACACACACACACCATCAGCCAAATTTCCAGGACAGTACCCAGGGCCCTCTTGTCTCTTGTTTGATAGCATCACACTTGGATTCCAAGTACTTGTTTGTCTCTTATGCATCCAGTCTTAGATATACCAAAGGTGGCAGAGAGGAGCTGCCCTGATGAGCACACATACTCCGGATCCCTCCATCTGTTCAAACCCCTCCTCCCTCACATCCTGAGACAGCAAAGAGAGCTAATGGCACTGTTTTATTGAGCAAGGCAGAAGCATTTGTGTGTACCATCCATGTGTATTTGAAAAGAAGAAAGGAACAAGGAAAGATCCATGTGGATGTTCAAGCATCCTGGACCAGGCATATCTCCTTCAGGAGGAGGAGATATTCTCCAAGGCTGGGCTCTCACCTAAGGGTGGATGTATGGCAAGGTGTGGAGGGGGAAGGATGTAAGTAAGAGGTGGTCAGCATGGTCCAGCCTGGGCCAACTTTTAGGCACTGTGACAGCTGTAACTTTCCATGGAGATTTTCTGAAGCCGGGGTATAGTATAGACGACAAAGGAGCAGATTTCTTTCTGCAAAGGAGAAGAGAGAAGGGCAGTCAGTGTGAGTTACAGACAAAGGGGAAGCTGTTTAGCCATGAGATGCTAGAGTAGGGGTATGGAATGATGGTGAGAGTCTTGGCCTCCCTCACCTCTGTGGATTCTCAGGACACTCCGCCCAACTCTTATGTCTCCTTAGTACCTCTCCCATTGTTCCACCAGATGGCCTGTGTCACCCTCATCCCTGGGTTCCTGGGGTCCTTCCTGCCCCCACATAGACCTTTAAGGTATAGCTATTTAAGTCTTCTAGGAGCCCAAGGGACAGGCAGGGGAAGCTCTGAGGGTGGAAGCAGGTGGTCGCTTCTGCCCATGTGGATGAAGTAGTTCCCAAACACTGTTCCATCCAGCACCTGGCCCAAGGCCAATAGGGATACAAAGTCAAGGAGTAAGGAAGTGGGAGACACCCCTGAAAGTGGGAGTTTAGCTCTCCCCAGAGCCATAGTGTCAACAACAACCAGCCTGTCCAGGGAAAGGGGGTAGCACACAAGGGTTTTGGCCACTTGCAGACCTCTAGTGTGTGTAGTGTGCCTCTAGCATGGCTGACCAAGCCTGGGATTACACATGGCATCTTTTCCCTCCCCAGGAACCACCCCTTCAGCTGCCTCCTCCAGTCCAGCAGGTAGCAAAAGGCGAGGAGGGCTTCCATGTCTGTATAGTTATGAGCCCTCACATTCCCCTCACACATGCACACACATGATCACCTCCTACACACCTACATGTACATACACATCCACACTCACACACTCAGACAGTTGCATACATATGGCCCTCACTTGAGAAGAACACATACACAAGCACACAGATTTCCACATCCCATGGCTGCACGATGCCCACAGCAGACACGTACCTTCTGCTGATCCGGCTGCTCACGGAAAGGACAGTCAGGCAAGTGGGACTGGGACTTGGTACATGTGGTCCAGCCCACCTCTATGCGCAAGTAGTATTTCATTCCATTCACGACCTATAGTGTAAAGAACAAGGTTCACGTAAACACTCCGGTCAAGCTCACATGCATGCAGTTATGTGGCATGGAATTAGTTATGTGAAGTGGATAGGTTTGCCTAAGGTTCACGCCTGCATTCCTGAGCTGTCAGAACCATCACCCATGAAAAGCACACAGCCATTGCTTCTGAAGGGTTGGCTGCAGGCTCTATTCTTACTGCTCTATCCCAACTGCTTATCTTCTGAGCAACTCTGACCAGGTATCAGGAAAACAGAAGGCAGAAACTGGGACTAACAACCCTTCACTGACTCAGGAGGAGGGAGAGCTCTAAAGACAGTCTTGGAGGAGGCAAATGAACAGTTCCGTGTTCTAGCAGCCCAGCACTGGTCTGAGCAGAAAGCTCTGGGCCATACATAGCACAGAAGTCACTAAATTCTGCCTTCTGTGGCTCAAGAGGCAGAGACAATGATCCATTCTAGAAGGGTCTGATGATTAAACTCCAGAGCCCAGCATATAGCCCATGCAGGATCCCTCTCCTCCACTTATCCCAGACTGACTATTCCCACATTCCACAGCAGGCAGTGGGGTGTTTCATATACAAGGGGAGTTCAGAACAACAAGGAAGACTGTCCCCCAGATGTCCCTTCCTTCAGTGTGACTGTTAATGGGAATACGTATCTCTCAAATGTGTCACGTACATGTGTGTCTGTCTTACTGTGTGTCTTACTATAATTAAAGAATCAGATTTAACTCTTTCCTAGCACAGGACACCCCAGACCCAACTCATCAGAAATATAGCCAAATCCAGTGGACAGGGCTCTAGAACTTGCCCTGCAAAACAAGGAGCAAGGTCCGTGCTCCTTTGGCATCATTTTCCTATCTGTAAAACAGATCTCATAGACCCAGTGCCCTGTAACACCCTCCGAATTAGTGTCACACATGAGGGATGCACAGGCCAGCAAGAACCACGGTCCATGGGAAGCCCATTAATGTCCCGGGGAACAATGGCAGGTGATTGCTGCAGCAGGAGACGTGGGGTGGCCTTCCTTCGTCTGAATTTTGAACAGGAAGTAGACATGAACTGTGGTCACTGTGGGACCAACAACACCTTTGTCACTGGTGTCTATGTGCTGCTTTGCTGTGGGACTTGGAGTGTCTGGTCCCAATTCTAGCTCCCTTTCAGGGTCAGCATCCCTACAGGCTCCCTCAGGACCCAGCTGATGGCTCTCCTTCTCTGTCCAAGGCTAACTGGCCTGCAGTGGCCATTTACCATAGCAAGTAGTCATGTGCCCAGGGCCACTGGCCATGGTAGACCCCTCTCAGAGTAGGAGATACTAGCCCCTCTAAGCTGCATCATGGGAACCCTCCTAGGCTGCTGTGCAGAGGGATCGATCAGATTGCTTCAGGATAGGAAAGAAACAGGTTAACTAAGCAGCAATTTACAAGTCATGTGTTGCTTAAGGATGGGGATGTGTTCTGAGAAATGTTTGTCCTGGGATTTCACATATGCACACTAAAATGGTCATGATGTCACTAGGCAGTATCATCGTATGGGACTTCCCTTGTATGTAGGGCTTGTGACTATGCAAGTGGCCAGACTTCTCCAAAGGCTAAGATCATGCAAACAGACAGAAGGAGCGATCCACACAGAAGGCGGGTGAGGAAGTGGACAGTGAGTGCAGCTATGCCTGAGTACATAGCAGCGGGCCCCCAGCAAGTCCAGAGAGTCTGTGGTTGAGAAAATTGCGTGTGGCAGTGCCAAATCCTGATTGTCAAAATGGAATTGTGGGTGTATAAACAACATTCACACAAGTGTCTGCTCTCAGTTCAGAGAAATACATGCATATAAACCCAAGATCCAGTTTGATGGGAGAGGGGGTGTGTTGTGAGGGGGATCAATAAACACAGGCAAGCATTCATCCAGGGAGAGGGGATGGGGGAGGATGTGCAGGGGCTCTGTGATGCCCACACCAGATGTTCTGTGACAAAAGGTTAACAAAAGGTTTAGGGGGAATAACGCTAAGACATCATTTAGTGAAGGCAGCCCAGTTGGAACTCCCCTCTTCTCCCCCCAGCCTGTTTAGTTAAATAATGGCTCACACTGGGTTCAGAAAGCCAATAGACTTTCTGGAAGTAGAACTAAAGGGCCACATGTCCACTTGCACTGCCTAACCTTGCTCTATCCAAACTAGTGGGGACATTTCTCTGGGCCAAGCCTTCAAAGTGTCCCAGGGCTCTGGAAAATTAAGGAGGTCATGGAGCACAGGTATGTTTGTGTCCTGTCTCAATCAGTGCAAAACACCTCAGACCAAGATCAGCAATGTAAGCCTAGCGTAGTCCAGAGGGTCTCCAGAGAGGGTGAGGGCAGAGGGCCAGGATTCAATCAGGCAAGGCCCAGGGGAGGCTGGCACACACCTGCTGCCTGGCGCTTATCACCTTCACTGCGCGGCTGTAGTACAGGTCGTTGTTCGCGTCATTGTAAACTTGGAGAGAGAAGTCCACCACGCGCTGCACCTCCTTGTCATTGGCATCGGCTGCCTCCACATGGCCCACTACTTTCTGCTTCTCCTTGGTGTTGGTGCAAGCTGCAAAGTTCAAGGTCAACGCTATAACCAACGAGGCCAGAAGCAGGTGCAGGGTTTTTGCCATGATTGGCTAGGACACAGGGCTGGGGCTAGTGCTGAGAGCTGCCACCGCAGGAAGCAGAGACCCAACCCAGAGGAGCGAGCACTCCCAGCTTCTGTGGCTTTTATCCCTCCAGGGCCGCCGCTCCCCCTCACCCCCCCCTTCCTAATCCACTCCAGGTCCTCCTTTTCCTGGTCCTCCTCTCTTCCTCACTTTGGGCCCTCCTCTCACCTTGTCGTGGCTCCTCCTCTTTTACCTCTTCTTTCTCCCCTTCCCCTAGCTCAGCCTCACCCCCACAGGTTCTACCCCTCCATCTGAGAACTCCTAATCTTGGGTGACCCTGGATTCCATAAATGTGTGCCCTCTCTTCAGCCCAGAAAAGTCCTATTTCTCCAGGAAAGGAGGAAAATAAAGCTGGGCTTCCTAGGGCTTGGGGAGGTCAGAGGTGCCAGGTCTGAGAATCACTGCACCACATGGGGTGCAATTCCAGGGAAGTTTGGAGGAATACACAGCGCTTGCCTTTTGTCTAGGGAACTTCTTGCCCAGATGTTAAGTGAATTCATCTTTATTTCAGAAAATTAAAAAAGAAAAAGAAAAAAAACCACCTTTTTGCTTAGGAATCATTACCACCACTCACTACTATTCACTTAAAAATCCTTTCAAAGGCCTCTCTGGGGACAGATCTGTAAGACACAGGGACTGAGCCTGAACTTCACATGGCAGTAGCTGCTCAGTAGAGATGTGACTCAAACCCATGTGTAATTTTAAAGTTTCTAGAAGACTCACTCAAAAAGAAAAAAAAGAAAGGTAAAAAGGTGAAACCATTTTGATCAGGTTTGATTTAATCTAATATGCCAAATGTTACCTTAACAAAAAGGAACAATTGTTGAGGCAATTTACATCCTTAGTATATGCATACTGAGCCTTCAGAATTGTGTGTGCATATCACATTTCAGACTGATATCCGTTGGGGCTGGTCTCATTTCAAGACTGGTTGTGTGGTGTTTTTCACAGAATAACCCAGCTTCAGGGTATGTGCTGGGGGAGGGGTGATCAGTCATTATACTTAGGGAATTACAGGTGTGTCTGTAATTGGAAGTGAAAGAGAGAGACAGAGACACAGAGAGAAAGAGAGAGAGAGACAGAGAGAGAGAGAGAGAGGCACCTCTGGGCACTGATCAGGTCTTGCCCAGACCAGAGAAATAGCTCAAGGCAAAGGTCATGAAGTACATCTATGTTTTGTGTTGTAGAAACAGGATGCCAGTGGAAGATATGTAAGCAAGGAAGAAGTATGATGTGGAATGGCACCTGGCAGCTGTGTGGACAGTACACTATGGGTGGAGCCGAGCATGAAGGGTACAGGGAGACCTCTACCAGGCTAAGGAGCTCAGCAATAAACACCACAGCATAGAGTCTGCTTTTGCTCAAGAAGCCACCACACTGTAACTATAGTCCTCTATCCTGGCTTTGGATACCTACCAGGATTTTGCAAAAACACCTTGAATGAAGCCTGATTCACATACAACAAAAGGCCCATTTGATCTATCCAGACAAGAATTACAGCAAACACATGCACCTATGCCGTCTCCCTAACCACAGAGCTAGGATAGTGTGTGACCAAGAAATGTATCCTGGTGCCTCTGAGGTCTGCACTCATGCCCACCCCAGCCTGGCTCTCCCTGCTGAGCCCTGGAGACTCAGGCTCTTGTTTCTGGATGACTTCCCTCAGTGGATCATGCGGTGAGAGCCCTGCGTCTGGCTCTGTGGCTTGGCATTCTTTATGACCTTTCCCTGTACTGCTTCCTTATCTTTCTCCCCAGACTGGGAGGATGTAGCCAGCTTGGTGTTCTGTAGGTTGACAAAGCACTCAGTTCAGGTCAGTGTAGGCCTGGGCAGCAACAGAGCCCCAGGAGAGGAGAGGTAAAGGGGTGCTCTGTACAACAGCTAAGGGGTTGTTTCTCCTCTTGCTCCCATCTATGTGCCTAAAAATAGCCTATTACAGGTGACCTCATGGAGAAAGTAATAGGCCTTGCCACAAACATGTCCTCAAAGACTGACTGCAAATAAAGACAACCCTGAGATACCACCTAACCCTAGTCAGAATGGCCCACATCCTCAAACCAGCTAACGACAAATGCTAGAAGGGATGCGGAGGTGGGAATGTACACTAATACAACCACTTTGGAAAGCAATCTGGAGGGTCCTCAGAAAGCTAAATATTGACCTCCCCTATGACCCAGCCATACCACTTCTAGGCATCTATCCTGAACAACAGGAACCAGTATACAAGGACACATGCACCTCCATGTTTATTGCAGCACTGTTCACAATAGCCAGGATATGGAAACAACCCAGATGTCCCACCACAGATGAATAGATCCAAAAATTATGGTATCTATACACAATGGAATATTATTCAACCATTAGAAATGACAAAATAATGGCATTTGCAGGGAAATGGATGGAGCTAGAAGAAATCATGTTGAGCAAGGTAAGCCAAGAGCAAAGAGACAAACTTTGTGCACATGGTCTCCCTGATAAGTGGATGTTAAATCCAAAATGTTAGGTGATATGACAAAATTAGCAGGACTTAAGAAACAAAGGACTTCCACTCATCTGGTCGAATCACTACTAAATAACCCCACACTGCTGATCATATGTATGGTATAAATGTACACACTGGAGGGGAACCAGGAAGACACAGAACTAGAGGGAATCGGGAAAACATACAACAGCAGGACCCATTAGCTGCACAGGACATTGACCAAAATGAACTAAGCAACTTAATGGCAACGATGGGAGGGAGGGAACAAGTGGGAAAGAATGAACAGCTGATGCTATGCAAAACAAAAGAAATGTACATACCACCCAATGCAGAACAAATAACTGTATTGCAAAGCTCATAGAACTCATAAATGTTATAGACTATGATAGACAATTTGTCCTATGAAAGTTAGAATGTGTTTGTGATTTTAACTAAGCTTCACTATCCCACAATACTGTGAAATTTGGGGAATTATGTAACCACTTAATCACAATAAAATTTTTGGAAAAAAAAAAGACTGACTGTCCCCAGAGTACTGGAGGTAGTGGTCAGCCAGTGGCAGCCCAGTTTGAGCCTGGGGTGGACTTGAGGCTGGTCTATGGTAGGGCTAGATCAGCAGGAATCTAAGAAAAGAAGTGACTGAGAAACATAAAAGTTCAAGGTGAAGCAGCATGCATTGACATAGAAGCTGGAGCAAGCTCTACAGACAATCTTGTTGCAAGCATTAACAGATGGCTACAGTGGACAATAGCTATTTAATGTGGCTAAGCCAGCCATATATTAGAAGAAGCCAGATAGAACAGTTATAGCTGGACAGAAGACAAGGCTTGGCTTCTAAGCTTTAAAAGACAGAGTGACTCTCTTATCAGGGACCAGTACAGCTGGAGATTTAAGTAGAAGCCTACATTCCTTTCACATTCTGAAAATCCTAAAGTCCAGAAGAATTAGATGGAAATGACAGCTCGTGCTGTGTCAATGGGGCAGCATGCCCTTGATGGTGGCTTGATCCACTGCTTAGGAAAGTTCCTTTCAAAACATGACTCAATATTGACAACGCATCTGGTCACCCAAGAGCTCTGCTGGAGATGGACTAGGAGATGAATGCTTTATAGTGAGCACTCTGCAGCTCAGAAAGCAAAGACCTGACTTTCTGGTCTCATGCTTTGACACATTTTTTAAGGATGTGCCTGGGATAGACCGATGCCATTAGAAATTAAAAGCCTTCTGAAAGGAATTGTCCATTCTACACACTATGGACAACATCCAAGATTTCTAAGAAGATGTCAAAATAATAACATTATAAAGAGTTTGCAAGATGAATCCAGTCCTCCATGGATGACGTGTACAGTCCAGGACCTGGGTGGAGGAAGTTACAGCAGCCGGGGTGGGAACAACAAGAGCCCTAGATCAGCAGAGGAGCCTGGGGATGGACTGACTTGCTACAATCTCAGGAGAAGAGTTGAACCGATGAGGAGAGATACTTTCTGGCTGAAGAAGAAAGTGGATTCTTGAGAGGAAAATCTCCTTGTGAAGATTTTGGGGACACAGTTGAGATGACACGTGGAAGATGACAACATGACATTAACTTAGATGGTCAAACAGCAGGGAGGTCTAAGAGGATGATTTAAATTCTGAAAGAAATCCTGCTATGAGGAAAATGCTATCCATCAAAGTCTCAGGCTACTGAAAATATTTTGTGGCAGGAAGAGTCAGTCAATGGACTGTCTCATTTAAGTTGCCCAGCCACCCAAACTTAAGCAACTAGCTCCCTGATGAGTCAGCAGCCACTAATATTACACTGACACAAAACCATTCTCCAGCAAAAAGGTGAAATGTTTAAGTGATCATTAGCATTTGTAGCAATGAAGTACTTTTTAATTAAGGCACGCACATTGTTTCCTAGACATTATACTCTTGCCCACTTAATAAACTATAGTGTAGTATAAACAACTTTCATGTGGTGCAGTGGAGACCCAAAGAGTCATGTGACTGGCTCTATTTCAATACTCAGTTCATTGTGTGTGGTCTACAATCAAACTCAAAATATCTCTGAGTGATGCCCATAGTATGTACTTCAAATAACTGTTAAGGCATCAGCAATCAGTTTTTTTCATGTGTGTGTGCCGGTCATGGAGTTTGAACTCAGGGCCTGGGCACGGTCCCTAAGTTATTTTGCTCAAGGCTAGCACTCTACAGCTTGAGCCACAGCTCCACTTCTGGCTTTTTGGTGGTTAATTGGAGATAAGAATCTGGACTTTGCAGGTCGCTGGTGGCTCACACCTGTAATCCTAGCTACTCAGGAGGCTGAGATCTGAGGGTCACAGTTCATAGCCAGCCCCTGCAGGCAAGAAAGTCTATGAGACTCTTATCTCCATTAACCACCATAAAACCCCCATGCTGCTGATCACATGTATGGTATATATGTGTACACTGGAGGGAAAACAGAGGATAACACAGAGCTAGAGGGAATCAGGGAAAA